AGTAAACAGGAAATGGAGGAACGGTGTCAAAGACTGCCAGGCATATGACTCTTTCAGTACAGTATACTCAGATCATAAAATTGTCCCAACTAAACTATGCCTCAGTTTGTGAGCCAATGGGAAGCCAACTGGCAAACGTAGCAATTTTGACTTAAGGGAGGCTTATAATGTGGAGGTTAAGGATTGTTTTGAGGCCGTGTACGAGCTTGAGGAAAAACACACTGTGAACGATCTGTATACTCCAGACGTAGTTGTCATGGTATAAAACAGACGGAAACGGGACAGACTTCTCAAATCAGTGTGGGTGCGCCCAAAATACATAGATGGATGGAAATTTGGTTTTTGTACCTGGGGAAAATACTGCTCAGTAGCTTTAATTTGAATGGTCACACTTTAGAATTTCATCCACAGAGTCGAAAAATAAAAACCGCCTTACATACTGCATTTTTCCAAAATTGACTACATTTAAATTATTATGAATCTGCTTTGAATTAATTTTCAGATGAGAAGAGAGATGAAGATTCTTGTTTGGATTTTTGCACCTTTGAGTCTTGTGGAACCTGTTTATCTTATCTACAAAATAGTTATGGTTAGTCTTGACATCAGAGTTCGTAAATATACCTCTGGGCCCAGTTGTTCGAAGGCCGATTAGCGCTTAACCCGGGGTTAAATTTTACCCAGGTTTCTTCTTCTTGTGTTCAAAAGCATTTTCGCGGATAATTTTCTCTGTTATTTTTAGAGCTTCCAATCATTAACTTGTGGACAAAAAGGATTAAATCTGAAATGCTTTTAAAACTTTCAAATTTGAATTCAAATCTCGCACTAACCCTGGGTTATCTTAACCCAGCTTTAAACAACCCGGCCCTGGAAATATTCCTGAGAATCTGTGGAATTTAATTATACGTGTATTTTTTCCGGGACAAGTTGGAAAACTCTCTTTTTCATCTGCTCTTTGAAAACGACTAGATTTTCATTTTTTTCCCTTTTAAATTAGTGCAGTATCTGATGTGGTGAGTGAAATACATCGTCTGTCACATTTTTTATGCAGTGAATAAACTTTTATATTTTAAAGCTTTAAAAAGTGTTCTATGAGCGTTGAACTGTTTTAGTTCTGGTCAAAGCCACTGGAAATTAGAAGCAAACCTCTGGTTCTTTGCTTGTATGAACTCTGGGGACAGGGGTTTCTTAGTATTATGTGATATCTTGCTCTGTTTAACACCTTCGAGCGGTGCATTGATGGCCAAAGATTTTTTTTACTACCGGTAAGTGATGGACAGCTCATTTGTTAAAAGGCATAATAGTAAATGTGGGTCCACATAATTATTTAGGAAGGAGAGAAATACAACTGAAAGTTTAATTTTATACTGTGGAACCTAGATAAAGATCTACGATTGATACCTAATATTCATTATTATATGCTGATTAAGTAATAATAATCATTGTTTCAATATTACTGTTCTGTAGATTGCACAGAAATGGGATCAGAATATTTCTGATGGAAAGGATGTCCTTGTTTATTCTTTTCTTGGTGCAGGTTTGCATATTTACTGATCAATTATTTAAAAAAGCTGAATAACAATAATATTAGTAACTCTTTACAGACAGAGAACATGCACTGAATTCGGTTATGAATATGTAAGTGTTTAACCATGCGAAAGTACTGCTCAGTAGCTATCATTTGAATGGTCACCTTGAGGGGTTCATCCACGGACTCAAAAGTTAGAACCACCTTGTACAGCATGATAAACAGTACCATTGGAAACACCAGAACATTTTATTCTCAGACTCAAAAGTTGGAACCACCTTGTACAGCGCAGTAATCAGCACTATTGGAAAGTAGTGCACAGTAGCTTTTATTTTTGAGAGGTCAAATATTATAACCACCTTGTAAGGCTCAGGGCTTGACGTTGCGACCCGTGGGGTCGCCAATGCGACTAGATCTTATTCAGTGGCGACTAACTTTTCACGCCTGGTCGCCAGGCTGGCCCCCGAGATATTTGTGACCTTCTTTGGAAAAACGTACACTAACGATATCCTGTTAAGTAAAGTTAAGTAAAGTTAAAGTCAAACGTTAGGCGGACCAAACGTTAGCTGCTAAGAATCAACCGTTAGAGCGTTTAGGCAAACCGTTAGAGCGTTAGAAAAGCTTTAGCTATCCCTTAGTTTTATAACGGTTACGGAATACACAAATACGTAAAAATGAATTTTATAACAACGGCCGTTGTAGGGACTATGTAGCCTGTTTTGTAGAAGGTCTTCTCTTGTATTCAGGACTGACTTTCTGTAACTTATTGACGATTTTTTTGAGTCTCATTAAAAGAACTTTAGTACATTGTATTCTATTTTTTCTTGAAGATAATTTATGGCGACTAGAATACTTGTCCTGGTGACCAAAATTGAAAACGTAGAGGCCAGCTGGCCCCAAGATTCTTTTCTGAAAGTCGAGCCCTGACTGGCTTAATACCATTGGAAAGTAATGTACAGTAGCTTTCATTTGAATGGTCACAAACTTTAAAGTTAGAACCACCTTGTACAACGTAATTAACAGTTCCACTGGAAAGTACTGCTCAGTAGCTTTTATTAAGACAGCTGTGTAAACTGTAGCGTTACACAACAGGATTATATACCGTATTTATTCGAATAAGCTCCCAACCTCGAATTAGCGCCCACCTCGAGTAAGCGCCCATCCTAAAGGCAGAAAAAGTTAATAAGCGCCCACCCCCTCCTCCTCCCAATCAAACTCAAATAAGCGCTCACCCCCACCCCACCCACTTGAGTGGATAAATGCTAATAGGAGACTTCCCCCAGGACGGAGTTTTCTTCAGAGTATTTTACTGGAACCTTGCTTTGTTACTTCTTCGCGTTTTGTTATTAGCATTTATTGTTTTGTTGCAAACTGAGACATACTTCACTTGCTGAAAACGGTGAAAATTTAATAAGCGCCCAGCCTCGAATAAGCGCCCACTCTCAAGGTCCAAAAATTTAAAAAGCGCCCTGGGCGGTTAATCGAATAAATACGGTAAGTTAACTGATTAATGTCATGATCTGTATCACTAAAACACAGCGTTATGTTTCAGCTTCCCTGGCTTTCGTAGTACGAGTACTGGTTGGAATCTCCTTCTGGCTTGTTGTTCGTAACTTTGGGATGGGATTGAAAGAAACTGGTTAGTAGCTGCTAGAAATCTAGTCAACACTACACAAACATTAGAGAGATTTGCAGTCACGGTTACCCCAAACGGCAAAAGTGAAGTTGTACCACGTGTCCAAGTTTTCCCCTTAATTGCTGTTTGATGTTAATTACTTCTACACAAAAATGAGTGGTTTCACGCCAGTTTTATCCACAAGAAATGTTCCGGACAGTTTTTAACTGCTTATTTTCTATTTTTAGAAATTCTCAACTTGAATCTGACGTTTGCACAACGTTGGCTACCAATATTTGTCTATCTTTGCTAAAAGAGTAATCACCATTATTTTTCAGATCTTCTCAACATTATTGGCCAATATTTGCCGTTGACCGCAACATTGTTAGCCAACTTCATTTGCAATTCTGTTAGAGGCTTGGTTAAAACACTATTAAAAAACTTCGGTTTACGTCAGAATTTTATCCACCGGTACCGACCTGTGGGCTTTCTTGTTGTTGCTTTTTGTCTTGCTTGTTTGTTTGTAGTAAATGCAGTTTTGTATCACATGCAGGTTGTATATTCCATGGAAGTATGCTTTGCAATGTTGGTAAAAAATTTCTTTCAAATATTGGATTTCAAAAATGCCCTTCTTCCCTAGTTTACCATTTCACAAAAGAAGGTATAAAGCATTTATTTAGCCTCCCGCGGACGTCGTTGGGGTTCGTTTGTTGCGCATTCATTTCTCCCCCACGGACGTCTGCTAAACACAGCCGACATTTACGTTCTGGATTGTTTGAATAAGCCAATAAGCGGTTAGTTATTGTGTCACGATCAGCCAATCACGGGCTGTGATATAAGTGAAACGGTACCTACGAATTATTTCTCGCTTTTTTAGAAGAATATTTATTCTATGCCTACGCATGTACGCATGGATGAGACTCCGAAGAAAGTAATAAGAAGCGATTTTTTTTTTGTTTTCTTTGCAGCTGTAATTTAGGAAAGGACTAAGTTCGTGTGTTTAGAAAAAGCGCAGTCGACATCGCAGGGCTCATCAAACGTGCTCTTGACGTTGACGTGTCTTTGTATTCTTCAAGTGAATTATTTATTTGCACAGCTATCTTCTACCTGAGACGACTCAAACGTTTTGAAAAAATCATAGAAATGATGCAATATTAAAAGCTATGGGGGAGAAATGAATGCGTGACAAACGAACCCCAAAGGACGTCTGGGGGGAGGCTATCATTTATTAGCTCTATTTCTTTGTATGAGAGCGACCGATTACCTATATTCAGAAGTGTTTCGTTAATAGACCTTTTTACCAACACGGCGGCCATATTAAATTAACTAGATTTAAGAAATATTATGGGATGCCCAGGGGGCATGAGCACGATTCGATATGCTCGCTCAGTATTTACGCGCGCTTTTCGGGTCAATTTTTCACAAAGTTTTCCTAGAAAAGATTGTAATGGAAAAAACGATTGTTGAGCCGTGTTTGGATGTAACAATGATTGCCTTTTTCCCTAGAAATATACAGCCAAGTTTTCTTTTTCACCCGAAAAGCGCGTGTTAATACTGAGCGAGTGCCCCCTGGGCATCCCATAATACTCCTTAAATCAAATTAATTCAATATGGCTGCCGTATGGGTAAAAAAGTCTATTACTCGAACAAGCGTGCCTTCAACTCGCTGTGCTGGAGTACCAAATATGACTTTCTTTCCATTTTTTTTTTTCAGTGTTTAACCTTCCCGTGACAGGAGACGAGCCTCCGATTTTCCCAAGGAAAAGAAACACTGCTAAATGTTGTGGAGTAGTGTGCTGTGGCCCTTTAGGTTGAAAACCAGAATAAATAAATTAAGACATAAAACATAAATCCAGGTTGCTCTGGTCTAACAAGATATGCAACTCACCAACCGCGGTGCCAAGAAACAAAAGATGTTGAAAACAAGGCTGACAAGTTACTGCAAACTTTTGTCATTTCAGCACAATTTTATTTTGCTGTTAAAGTATGTTTTGTATATACTTAGATAGACTTCAAGCAAAGTCTTCCCCAAGTTGTAACTGAGGCGAAATTTTGCTTTTAACTCTCTTCAGTTTTCAGCGTGCAATGTAATATCTATAGTTGATTAGCCTTGGACGAAAGCGGTTTAAAAAGCACTTTTGCTTTTTTGTTGAAAATCGAAAACTGCTAGTTGGGCATCTTCAAAATAATCGGTAACAAAGTAAAGAGGAAAACCTTCATAGTGTCGTTTTTTTAAAAAACTAATTTATTAGAAAAGAAAGCATTTGATATAAGGTGCAGAGTTTAGATTCTATGGTTAAGTATCCTCCCTGAGCAAGATATTAGCTCTTAATTTTAAAGAAAAGAATAACAGGATGGCGCGTTGAATTTTCTTGTCCTAGAGAGGAGCGAATAGCTAAAATGGCGTAGTTTTTTTGTATCTGTTTTGCCAAAAACGCAATTCCATCGTTAGAAAGTTCGATACAACACCTTAACCGTGAAGATGAATTATTTATTTTCCGGCTACTTATGTATACTTTTTTAAATAATGTGTTTTCCACTAATATAATTTTTTAATTTTTTTTCTCATTTTGGAAAGCATAAAGATACATGAAAATATAACCAATAGAGAATTTTGTAGCATAGAAAATGATATTTAGAAAAATGTATATCAATGGACAATAAAAAAGTATGTCTCGCTCATCCTATGGGTGTGCATAAATATGCAGAGCAAAATACAAATTAAAAGGCTGGAAGGAAAAAATATAGATATTTGTAGAATTTTTGAAGGCTTGTTTATTGAGTGGAAGTCATTGTTACATTTGGGCCCGACAATTTCACTTTTGAAGGGGGGTTATGGTGGGGCAATTTTTTGTTTCAAGGTTATTTTGCTTGATACTTTTTTGGAGCGATTAACTCCCCTACTTGCCCTAGACTGCGAGCAGTCTCTCTTTTTCTTCAGATTTAGTGAGAGCAATGCACGCGCGCGGGAGCGGCGAAGCCGCGAGTCATGCGAGTGGCCATTTGCGTGTCTCGCGTTTTGCTTGACGGACTACAGAAAAAAGAGAGACTGCTCGTAGTCTATACTTGCCCGTACTAGGCCTATGTCAAGGATCGTTTGCTTCACTCGCTCCTCTGTCTCTGAGGAAAATAGGGGGCGTATTCGTAGTCTTACAATCACCGATTATCCTTCATTTTTTTAAAATTTCAGTATCGAGAGTAAATTCAGAAAGGCTTACGAGAGCAGACCGTTTAGCAAATGGTGGCTTGACAGAGAGATAAATGAACCTGACCTGTAACCCTGTAAATAAAATGATCAGTTAGCTTACGATTGTGGTCTACAAGAGGCTACGCAAGCCTTCCGTAGGAAAATTTAATCATCATATACATGTTCCGATAAATTAAGGCCCGGTTCAAACGTGGAACTTTACATGTGCCGAACCTAATACCTATTTAGGTCGATAGGTGTAGCAGAAACCCTTGTGAGTTTCTGGGTGTGGAGCTAAGGTTTGCCCAAATTTGGTTACCCCATGTATTGGGTGACCTGTGACTCAAGAAAGAAAGATCGAGCAGGAGTCTGGGTACAAAACTGGCGGACATTTTGAAAAGTTAGTTGTATTATTCATCACCGTAGCAAACCGTTTTGATTGTTGTTTGTAGATGACATGATTTGAAAATGGCCATGGAAAACTACTGCAGTGACAGTGGTGTTTCAAAGGAACGAGCGAAAGAGCTGTTGACAAGTGAGGAGGTCGAGTGGCTTAAAATCGCGGTGAAAAGCTTTTCGAAGACAAAATCGATGGAAACGTTCTGTTCGAATCTTTTAAAGATCATAAGTTCGTCTTCTTCGAGGGTTGATCATGACATTCTCGCTAANTACAATCACCGATTATCCTTCATTTTTTTAAAATTTCAGTATCGAGAGTAAATTCAGAAAGGCTTACGAGAGCAGACCGTTTAGCAAATGGTGGCTTGACAGAGAGATAAATGAACCTGACCTGTAACCCTGTAAATAAAATGATCAGTTAGCTTACGATTGTGGTCTACAAGAGGCTACGCAAGCCTTCCGTAGGAAAATTTAATCATCATATACATGTTCCGATAAATTAAGGCCCGGTTCAAACGTGGAACTTTACATGTGCCGAACCTAATACCTATTTAGGTCGATAGGTGTAGCAGAAACCCTTGTGAGTTTCTGGGTGTGGAGCTAAGGTTTGCCCAAATTTGGTTACCCCATGTATTGGGTGACCTGTGACTCAAGAAAGAAAGATCGAGCAGGAGTCTGGGTACAAAACTGGCGGACATTTTGAAAAGTTAGTTGTATTATTCATCACCGTAGCAAACCGTTTTGATTGTTGTTTGTAGATGACATGATTTGAAAATGGCCATGGAAAACTACTGCAGTGACAGTGGTGTTTCAAAGGAACGAGCGAAAGAGCTGTTGACAAGTGAGGAGGTCGAGTGGCTTAAAATCGCGGTGAAAAGCTTTTCGAAGACAAAATCGATGGAAACGTTCTGTTCGAATCTTTTAAAGATCATAAGTTCGTCTTCTTCGAGGGTTGATCATGACATTCTCGCTAAAGTTAGGCAATGCCTTCCTAAGAATCAAAGAAGCAAGTTCACCCGTTATTGTAATGAGCTGCTTAAGACGGAGGCCTTGCGAGGTCAAAGAAGAGTTTTGGCGAGGAACGGAAGCATCGGAGAAGCTAACGAATTCAAAAGAGGCAGAGGTTTGGAGAACTTTGCACCGAATTTTCAAGGTAGCCCAGCTAAGATGAAGAAGCAAGATAAATTAAGACCGTTGAAGAATAAGATTGAGAAGAAAGAGGCAAAAATCGAACGAGCTTCTGCTGATTGTGCCAAAGACAGAAAACAATCAAAAATTACTTCAAAGGCGCAACGAAAAAAATTGGATTCACCTTCAAGATCGGGTAACAAGATTATTGTCCTTGAAAGAAATTCTTTGAAACAAGGTTTTGGATTCAGGATACGCGGTGGAAATTCTCGTGAGCCATCAATAACCGTCGCGGAAGTAAAACAAGGCTCTATTGCTGACCAACAAGGATTGAATTATAGGGATAAGATTGTTAGCGTAAATGAGAAACGTTGCGGGAAGAACGGTATGAAGATGAATGATTTTATTCGAAAAATCAAGGCCTCAAAGGTTCTCCACATACGAATTACTCCTGTGCAAAGTTTCTGCGAAGACGTCCGTAGAGCTGAAGATGTTGGTGAAGCAAATGGAAGAGAAAGAAGGAAGCAAGAAGATGAGCTGTTGTCAACTGTTACTGTTTATCCGGGGGAAGATGGATGGCTTGGGTGCTGTATCAGGGGGTATGTGTACCAGTTTAATGAAATATCACCATCCCCTCCCATCTTAACCTATCGGAATTGGTTGGTTCTCTGACTTTTAGGTAGCTTATTAAACTTTGTGTAGGCACAACCTCGTCCACAGGGCTTTTCCCACCCCTCCCAATTTCTGTCTGAGGGAAAAAAAATATCTGTCACATGTTTTTAATTTATTTATGAGAGAACACAAAGTCACTAACCATACAGATACCTTATTCAGCGGTACGTACCTCTGTGTAAGTCAAATAAGGGAATGCCCTCCCCCCACCTAGGAGTACTCCACTCCATGCTTCCAAATGATCATATGTTCAATGGTTTGAATACTTACTCAGGTTTTTTTTAAACCAGTGACATGTTCTGAACATGTCTTTATATTTTATTTTCTAGTGGCACTGATTATGCCTGTGATGTACATGTTATCTCTGTTGATGCTGGATCCCCAGCAGAGATGGCTGGCATAAAGCCGGGAGATATGATAGTCAAGGTGAGTATTTCCCAATGCTGTAATTCTTAGTCTTACAGGTAAAGATCCATACCAGTTTCCAATGTTTTAATAAGATTGCCTGCTGAAAGATAGCCAATATCCTACCTGAATTCCCAGAAAAAAAAAAGATTTTTTTGATAAATGAAATAGAAGTGTAAAATAGATTAGACTCCAGCCCTGCTGTTATAGAATCCCACTTGCCTAGTCCCTGTATGACATCTTCTGAGGCCTTTTTGATCACCCAGAATATTGAGGCCTAGTGACAAGCTTAGACTCTCACCATGAAGGACACTAGCTTGTGGTCCCAAGAAAGACTGCAACTCTGGTAGTTAATTTTACAGGGTTCAAGTCAGATTTGTTCTGTTCGTTCTTTTTTAAAAATTAAATAAGTGGATGAAACAAAGCCTGAGGGAAGATGTATATAATGTGAAATGAGATTGAAAGACGGTCTCATGGACTCATCCACTTATTAAAACTATTTTAATATAATGGTTCTTTTCTCTTCAATTTTCACAGATAAATGGCCTCAGCACCAAGGATTTGACACATGTTCAAGTTGTGAGACTTGTCATAACATCCGGACTTTCTGTGCAATTTTCTTTGATGTGTGGTCGTAAGCAAAGATCATCGGGACAGCAAGCCACTAATGTCCAACAGACACCCCTTAGAACTTACTGTACAAGGCCACATGAAGCCACTCCTCCACAGAGTCCATCTGTTAAACAGATCCGTCCTCCTGGGTACCCACAGCGAACCCATGGGGTGGCTGAATCACCTTCACAGCTCCCTCTGGGTGTGTTGTCCTTGGATTGTTTACCCCCTCCTCCTTACACCCCTGAAGTGCCATCTAGGCACAGGGTATTAGCAAGAGGGAGAGTGGAGCCAGTAACCCCAGTGCGATGTCCTGAAGAACTACAGCATACCCACTGCAATCAAGAAGTGCAAGACATCATTTTTCAAGAAGAAGAAGAACAAAGCTCCTCTTTAGGACAACAGCAACAACCACAGGGTACCCACTGCAGTCAAGATTCACAGCATGCTAGTAACAGAGATGAGAGAAAACCTGAACGGCAACGGTTACAGAGCTCCTCTTCTGTACAAAAACCAATTGTCACCATGGAAATTATTGATTGTGAAGATATTAACACTGATGACGCAGACATGTTTCAGGATGTTGGCCAGATGGGAGAGCATGATTCACATTCAAGTATTGTGCAACAAAGAAACAAACCAGAAACTGTCATTGAAGAAACTCAAGATAACACTTCGCCTTCTTCTTCAAGCCAGTCCACTGCTAGTAGTAATGGCAGAGAATGTCTTCTAAGTCATATTCAACAGTTTAATCAGGCAAATCTCAGGAGTTTAGGAGATTGTCCACAAATAAATGCTTCAAAAAATATGTCATATTCATCAGATGATTGTTTGCCTCCAGCTACCAACCAGCTCTCTCCTCCACAAGAAAACAGCAGAGAATCTTTTCTTAGCCAAGTAAGAAAATTCAACAAAGAAAAACTAAGAAAATTATCTGGATGTCCAGGACAGACTATTCCTTGTCAGCTTCAGGGTAATCCCAGTGCAAATGAAGGCCTGCCTAAAGATCTCCTACAGTCAGTAGAAACTGAAAAAGATAGCATGCAAGTTAATGATGTCCAAGAGTGTGTAGATGCTGACAGTCTTTTTGCTGCACTTGCTCAAGTGATGCATAGCAGAGCAAAAGTACTGCAGGATACTTTAAGCAGCATAGAGGAATATGATAGTGATTCAAGTGATGGCGAATGGGAACTTTGATTAATGACTTGAACAGTATGTGCACTTGTTTGTCTCAGATCCTCTAGTCTGTAAACAGCTGCCCCCTCCCATCAAACAAAATCATCCTGATTTTGTTTGAGGGGAAGGGGCGGCTGTAAATCAGGACTATTAGCATCTTGAAATGAAAAGTAGATAATATGAAAAGTCTGTTAATGGTTGGGGGAAATCCCAATATGAATGGATAAGGATGCTTGTCAGGCTTTAAAATTTTTATTACCAGTTTGAAAAATATGCTATTAATCAAAAGAAAGCTAAGTTTTGCATCTATTATGCACTGAGAATAAGGTTGAGTCTGTCAGGTAGCTAAAGTAATATTATTAGAGACCTTAAGATGCACGGTTTCCTTATACGGGTATGCATGGGTAAATTACCTGTGCACATAGCTCTAGAGGAGGATTGCCTTTTACCATGGAGAAATAGCTAGGCCTCTGGGAAGAATGGTGATGGTATTACATCTGGGAAATCATGGTTGTCTTTCACAACTACATGGCAAGCATACTTACCCATATCTAATCTGTAAAGAGAAACAGTGTATTATTGATAAAATATTTTCAGTGAAGTACAAAACCTTGGACCAAAATTAATATATTTATCTATAATTATTCAACAATTATTGTTGAAATAAGTTGTGTAAATTGCGTGTAAAATTATTTAATGCTAGTGTGAAATGTAAACATTTTATTTTTGAGGTATTTTAAGAAGGTGAATCGGGTCTGTGTTTTAACCCAGTTTGATATAATTTATTTTGCATATTTCGGTCATGTTACTGTGCTGTGCAATAAAAAAAATTAAGTAAAACATCTGGCTCATCTTTTTATATCATGGAAATGTTAGCTTGCGTAGCAGGTGCTTGGAAGTAGTGGGCGAAAGAGAGAATGGGTGCGTGTGAGGTAGACACGCGTGTCTACTTCTCGCGCGCCCATTTTTTCTAATGCCCACTACTTCTAAGCGCCTGCTACGCAAGCTATGGAAATGTGTAGGGCTTTCGTTTTGTAATTTTGGGTGTAAATTTCTTTATCACACTTTGCAAAATATTTTTTTATATAAATGCCACAGCACATCTTAATCAGAAAAAGTACAGGTTTGTAGTCCAGTTCAGTCTAGTCCAATCCAATCCACTCCATTACGTTTTATTGGGTGAGCTGTGCATCTATCCTGTGCTAGTACCATTCTCCCGCCTCCGGTTACTACCCATCATGGCCGCTCTCGTTTCATTGCAAGACATTGAAAATGCCATTGAAATAATCAAAAAAAGTCCTATGGTTTACAGGACCCCACTTTTACAAAATGTGCAAAACATGTTTGGTTTTGGGGACCAATTTAAGCTGCATTTGAAGATGGAAAACATGCAGAATACAGGTATAATTAATTACTTAAACACAGTATAAAACATCGAGTGAAATTTACCGATGTTGATAAGCTATAAAACCACTGATTATCTTGGTATGTGTAATGGTTTGTGTCGACATTTAGAAGGACTTCGAATTTCCTGATGTAACTCGAACTGTAATTCTCAAGAGATGAATGTTAAAACAAGGTTCCATCTTTCTACACCAAGGACTCAGTCTGAATGCTTGAATTAATTCTGATTAATTGGAGAAAGTCCCTCTTAGGGTGGGGGTTGGGTTACGTACGGTATGTCTCTAGTATGAATTTCAAATACGATGGTTTTGCGTTTTCAGCAGTAGGTCATGTCTCTCTCTGTATAATATTTTAACGTACCATAATTATTTCCTCAAAAAATAGCAGGGGCAATTACTTTTCCCTTCGCCCCAACAGGCGGCGATTAATCGAGGGAGGCGATTATTTCAAATATTGCTCACTGGAAGTCGTGCCCTAAATATTGTTTTTGTTCTATTATCCCATTATATCAAAAAATAATCACATCAAATAAACTGAACATGGCCTTATGGTGTTCCAAGATTAGATTAATTTTCATTTCCAATATCCTTGGCGTCAAAGCTTGAATTGTTACCGATCAGTTTTTGCCCCATCAGACTCCACTTCATTTTCAGCCTCCAGATTTACATACCGCTATATATCGGTATCCTTGCAAGAGGGTGAGGGCAATTATTCGAGGGAGGCGATTATTTTAAATATTTCTATCAAAGGGGGGTGATAATTCAAGGCTCAAGGGAGGCACTTAATTGAGGGATGGCTATTATTCAAGGAGATATGGTATCTATCCTTTTCATCTAGTCTTATGTCGCCCTTAACCAGATGAATTTTTTTTGTTATTGGTAAGAAGGCCAATAACTGGGTGGTGGCTTGTAAGTAGGGGGGAGGGGGACAGGGCTTATAAGGGGAAGTTTAGCTGGTGGCTTATAAAGCTTTTATTGTGTTAGGTTCATTTAAAGCCCGTGGCATTGTCAACCAGTTTGCCCACATCCCTGCGGAAATCATTAGCAGCAAGAGAAACCTTGTCTCCATCTCAGCTGGGAATTATGGCAAGGCGTTTGCTATTGCTACAAAGAAACAGAACTTACCAGCGACATTGTGTATGCCAGAGACAGCACCTGTTAACAGAGTAACTCTAATTGAGGTATTTCTTTACTTTTCTCAACTTTCCAAAGGCAAATTAACTGTCTCTTAATTGATATATCTTATGATATTATAACTTAATCACATGCAATTTGAACCTACAAGAAACCTACAATAAATATTGACCCAAGTTGTACCTTAGAAATCTACAGTCCCAAGACATTTGTATAAGGTTTGATTTGCATTAATATACAGTCAACAACTTGTGTCATTTATAGGCATAATTATTGTCAACATATTGCATGCAATAAAGCCGTGGACAGTGATCTATAATTATGCCGCTTACTTTATCTTACGGCTAACCTGAAATAATTATATTCTTTTCTAACAATTCAAAGCTGATTTTCAGAGTCTTGGTGTGACTGTGGAAAGAATGCCATCATGCAATTTACAAGCTGCTGTTGATCGCCATGTCAGTGATGATGGCATGTATTTCCTTCACTCCTTTGATGACCTTAATCTTATCGCAGGCTATGGAAGGTAACACATTATTTCTGGCAATAAAATGAGGGAGGGAGGGGTGGTGGTTGGGTGAGCTTTTGATGGGTATGTGACTTTGTGCCACATGCCTCCCAGAACCTCGATCAGCCCAATATTATAGTTATAAACTTTGCATAATAGAATTCTTATAATCAAGGCTGAGCTCTTACAGTGCCTGCACACATGTCCAATCCTCTTGACCAGATTCTAGTGGATAAAACCTGCATGGTGGCCCCTGGCGCATAACTTTTGCTTACAGGTGACTAGAAAGTCTTTTTCTAACGATATAAATCATACACTGGGCATCATACTGATTTCACAGATTCATAGAGCATTGCAGAGCTGACCTTACAATTTTTTTTTATAGCTCAGCCTTGAATAATATTTATGAGTGCAATGCTGAAATTAAGGTGACAATTGACTCTTGATCTAATTTCAAATTCTCCATCTCATCCACAAGCATAATATGAAGTGCACTGGAATGACGATTTGTTGATCAGTTTATCAGAAGCCTCTTAAGAGCTTTACTCCAGCTGGCACCACTTAACGTTGTGTCTACAAAGCTACCTTTTCTTCTGATCAACCCTTTTTAATTTCAATGTGTCGAATTTGTTCAAAATGCGCAATGTCCCATTTAAGTACAGCTTGTCCCCAGTCATCTGTTTTGTCTCTTATATTATTTGATGAGGTTTAATCTGTGCTGGAATAGCTTGCAATGAGTATTCTCCTTATTCAATTGCTAGTGCTGGTGTCGAGATATTAGAGGAAATTCCAAATCCTGATGTCGTGATTGTCTGTTGTGGAGGAGGTGGCCTAGTCTCTGGTGTTGCGGCAAGCATAAAACTTAAGGGAAGTAAAGCAACAAGAATATTTGCTGTGGAACCTGAAGGAGGTGGGTGGATTAGAAGTCAAGCCCTATCCCCCATTTCAGTAGGGTTATAATTGTGGGTAACTTCTGGAACCATCAGTTTAAAAAGATCTGGGATTTTCGAAAAAAAAAAAAATTATTGATGTACAATGGTGAGATAATGACAAAGAAAACATTAATAGCTTTTAAAATATATTAAATTTGCAGCACCTACTATGTATCTGAGTAAACAGCAAGGTCATTCTGTCAGTGTGAAATCAGTAAACACCATCGCCTCAGGACTTGCTCCACCTTATGCAGGTAAGGAAGACNATTGTGGGTAACTTCTGGAACCATCAGTTTAAAAAGATCTGGGATTTTCGAAAAAAAAAAAAATTATTGATGTACAATGGTGAGATAATGACAAAGAAAACATTAATAGCTTTTAAAATATATTAAATTTGCAGCACCTACTATGTATCTGAGTAAACAGCAAGGTCATTCTGTCAGTGTGAAATCAGTAAACACCATCGCCTCAGGACTTGCTCCACCTTATGCAGGTAAGGAAGACTGTGAACATAATTTCTGGGGACTCTGCAATAAAATAGCTCAAACTATAGTATTTAACACTAGCACGCCGCATATAGCCCATGGCTACCTAGACATGTCTGTGCATCGTGCGTTTCCTATTTATTATTTTAAGGACAGTTTCACTTCCCAGTAGCGTGCTCAGTCTTTTCGGTGTTTTGTACACTTCTTTACCTGCCCCGCCCACCTCCTTGCATTTTAAATTCACTACCAGGAGCTTTCTACTCCTACTGCCTCTGAGACTGAGTCTCCAATATCTGACTAGCATTACAGGCATTGTTTGTGGATGGCCCCAGTGAGAATATATCACATTATGTGTGTTGTGGAAGAGACCAGCAAGCTGGCAAGAAGAGTGGGGATCACATTATGTCTGCTTGTCCAGGCAAAGTGCTAACCTGCAGAGAACTTAATGGTTTGTTATTTTTTTCTCAACAGGAAAAATTACTTTTCAGCATGTGCAAGAGTTTGTAGAAGATGTTATTTTAGTCACAGATGATGAGATCAAGAGGTCAGTACGTTGATAACCATGTATAATATAAAATCTGTGTTTCCCTATAGAGTCCTAATTTTTCACTCTTGAATTTGAACGGAAGACGGCTGCAAGACATTATAAAAATTCAACGGTGTAATTCCAGAAACATCTATGCAAGACATACTCTTTCTGTCAAATAAAATAATTGTATTTTATGCTGTTGGTTCAGGCCTTTCCTAATGTAAAGTTGATTTTAATCCCCTCCCCCCAAAAATATCCTATGATGTTGCACTGTGGGGGGAGAAGTTGAGTGAAATTTGCCTTGTAACATCTAGGCTTACTTTATAGATGAGAAGGTTATGAATAATGGCTATTTTAAGTGACATGGGTATGACTAACTGGAGGTGATTTCCGATGTACAAAAAATTTGCCTTGACACTTCCACATTATTTTGTATTGCTAAAGTTTCTTCACTCGTATAATAACAATTTGCTCAAAAATTTGGAATAAGTCCTCCTCTGGTTGCAGTCTGCCTGTCAAGAACACCATTGATTGTACTTAAGCATCCAAAATGAATTTTCACATGACATTTGTCAGTAACAACAGTTAATTTTTTAAAACCTTTCTTTTTACACAGGGCTGTAAAGACATTTTACCAAGCTGGTCTTGTTGTTGAGCCCTCAGGAGCTGCAGCTTTTGCAGCCTTACAATCAGACAAAATACCAGATTTATTGCCTGGAAGCAATGTAGTTGTCATGGTCACTGGAGGAAATGTAACAACTGAAGAACTGTGTGATCTTGTTAGGTAGCAAAATAGTTCCTTTTCTTGGAACCTTGTGACAGAATGTATAACTACTACCACTATAAAGTACAAAGGCAGTTAACTGCAGCATAAAACCAAACATCACACTTACTGTAATGTAACTGCTAACCACTGACGATAAATTGGAGAGTCTGACAGGGCTGAACAAGTGAACATCAGACTTTAAGGGGCTAAGTCATAGGGATATTGTCAGGGTTATCATTAAGACGCAGGGGCCAGGGATTTCTGCCGGCTACTAGGAACGTGGCCCCCAACTACTTTCATAGGAAAATAGAAGAAAAAAAGAATCAAAAGAAATCCCTAGCTGTTTGATTCCCCACCTACATGTTGTATTTACCCTGCTACTTGAAATCTTAGTGACAACCCTGTATTGCTGCTTTAATTCAATTTTGTCTTAGTGCCTTTACTGCCATACACAATAAATTATGCTCCTGTAAAGTTAAGAAGCAAACAAATTTCATCAGGAACCACTAACCATAATGATTTTGCTGTCTCTTAGTTCTCTTGACTTGTTCCAGAGCCTNTAACAATTTGCTCAAAAATTTGGAATAAGTCCTCCTCTGGTTGCAGTCTGCCTGTCAAGAACACCATTGATTGTACTTAAGCATCCAAAATGAATTTTCACATGACATTTGTCAGTAACAACAGTTAATTTTTTAAAACCTTTCTTTTTACACAGGGCTGTAAAGACATTTTACCAAGCTGGTCTTGTTGTTGAGCCCTCAGGAGCTGCAGCTTTTGCAGCCTTACAATCAGACAAAATACCAGATTTATTGCCTGGAAGCAATGTAGTTGTCATGGTCACTGGAGGAAATGTAACAACTGAAGAACTGTGTGATCTTGTTAGGTAGCAAAATAGTTCCTTTTCTTGGAACCTTGTGACAGAATGTATAACTACTACCACTATAAAGTACAAAGGCAGTTAACTGCAGCATAAAACCAAACATCACACTTACTGTAATGTAACTGCTAACCACTGACGATAAATTGGAGAGTCTGACAGGGCTGAACAAGTGAACATCAGACTTTAAGGGGCTAAGTCATAGGGATATTGTCAGGGTTATCATTAAGACGCAGGGGCCAGGGATTTCTGCCGGCTACTAGGAACGTGGCCCCCAACTACTTTCATAGGAAAATAGAAGAAAAAAAGAATCAAAAGAAATCCCTAGCTGTTTGATTCCCCACCTACATGTTGTATTTACCCTGCTACTTGAAATCTTAGTGACAACCCTGTATTGCTGCTTTAATTCAATTTTGTCTTAGTGCCTTTACTGCCATACACAATAAATTATGCTCCTGTAAAGTTAAGAAGCAAACAAATTTCATCAGGAACCACTAACCATAATGATTTTGCTGTCTCTTAGTTCTCTTGACTTGTTCCAGAGCCTCAGATTGGCAAGAGAGCTTGCTGGCAGCCTTTTGCCATCTTGTTTATAACTGTACAGAACCTGTGTTTACAGGAGTTTCAACTGATTAAGTTACCATTTATTTAAGACTAGGTAAGGTGTTTTTTCTGGATACATAATACTGTCGTAAAGGAATCACATAAAAGATGTTTTTTTTTTATTATTCAACATATGCACTTTTAACAATTAAGGAACATGATTATAACATCTCTCTAAAGTTCATGTAAAGAACAGGTTACATATTTTAATAAAAATTTACAAGCCATACTTAGTTCATGTACTCTGTTAAGTGTTTAAAATATTGGGTGTGTAGAATAACTTTATCTAATCTTATATTAATATATTGTAAAGGTGACTTTGTAAAGGGCCAAAACTCCCAAGGAAAATAAAAACTGTAACAATCTGTAACAATTTGAACTAGCCAGCCTAAAACAAGCACTCTGCTTTTGTAAAAGGGTTTAAAAGGTTGGGAGTGTTAAATAACTTCATTTTAGGTTATAAAAACCTGTAGGGGTGCCTTCGTGAAGGGCCAATAGCAGTCCATTCCAGGAATTTACTGGTAGATTCCCACGACAGTGGACAGTAGGGTCGGGCGCTTCAAAAGTCATTATCATTATCTGAATGCCCAGAACAGGCTAAGACATGAAGTTTATATACAATCTTATTAAAAGCTAAGAGTTAATATTTGTAAAAAGAATCAGTAAAGGAAATAAAAGTACAGCCATCATTTAATTAAGAATATCATAGCCTGCAGAACAGGCTGATGATTTCAGGTTAGTGAAGACAAGTGAAAGGCTGGTGTTGGAGTAGGAGGTACCTCTGACACACAATGAGGAAAGGTGCCTTTCCTATTATTTTTGACCCCTGCTTCATGCCGGCCTTGTGCATCCCTTCACTTGCCTGAAAACATGAGAAAATTGTTAACTGTTTGTTAAAAATCTAATTAAAATAGCCATCACTGGGGAATGACTCTGTGCAATATGTAGCAAATGGTGTACAACTATAAACAGATTATTCCCAGTTTCATCCTCAGACTGTTACAGAGCATCAGCCTTTTTGCGATACAAAAGGCTTGATGACTTTGAACTGCGGATCGTGCAATACATTTTGGAGTTTCCCATGTATTTTCTTTGTCAACACCATCTTTTCACAGCCTCCCATAAAATTCTTTTGTAAGGGCAGTTTGTGTCAGTTGTTCTAATATATGATCTGCATAAAGAGGATGTACAAGTTTGAGCTTTCCTTCTGAGGCAATGCAAGCAATTGCTGTCCTTACTCTAGTAACTGGCAATCCTTCCAGATTTATCTTAAAATGATGATAAAAGTGAGTCTCCAAAGCCTTGAGAAAAGTCCACGACTCTTCTTCAGTAAAAATGAGAGAGTTTTTGTCGTGGATATTTTCCCAGATCTCTTTTGCATCCTTTTCCTCGATGCTAAATAAAATTCTGTTCAGTCCTGTCACAGTCGAAGCATCGTAACAAAGTTCGATCGGTGTGGATTTGCCAGCCGATGACATCCCTGCCCAGAGAGAAAAATACCAACAAAGATCCGTGGATGAGAAAGTCATCGGGGTGATTCTACAATCAAATTTCTGCTCAAACCATTGGATCAAACTTCTGCAAAGGTCTGCGGGACCTTTGATGAGACAAACTGGTAGAGAGGTGAATTGACCTTGCAGTCTTGTATCTGCTGAAAATTCTTTTTCCACAGAGCACATCATCATTGTTAAAATTGGATTAGAAGTTGATTTTACTTTGGAAGAAGTGTCTTCTGTAAAATTATTGACGGTTACTTTCACAGCTGAAAGTTTCGTGTCTTCAGCTGTGATATCTTTGAAAACAAAGATGTCAGTTTTGTATTTGCGATTTTTGATTTCGCCATTTGCTCCAACTAAAAGCTGTTTATCTGTCTCTAACTGTAGAAACCCAGAAATTTGTTCTGCATATGTTGTCACGCTGGAAGCGTCAAAATCAAAAAGCGGCGATGCCTGATACACACGAAGCGTTTTACCAATAATATCCTGAAATAAGTTTGTAGTCTTTCCCTCAGTTTGAACAATTCTAGCAGTGGATCGCTTCGACCCGTGAGAAAATACAGTGGTTGGAAAGTTTTCCTTTTCTTGACGATTTGCGGTCTTGCGAAGTGTGGCAGATCGTGTAGTCTCCCCATCTTGTTTTCGAATAATTCGTCCAGATTTGGGGGTTGTAACGTACGGAGTATGTCGTCTGGAAAGCCAGGGAGTGCGATTAGATTGAATACGTCGTCCAGCCGTTGAAGCCAAGCCACAAAACTTTCCTCTTCTTCCAGATTCAGATGGAGTTGAAAAAAAATCCGCCATTTTGCAACGATAATTTTTCAAACTTTCCGCCTTTTCAAAAAAGGCTTGGATGCTAAGCAAGTATGAGAAGGCGCGGCTCCCAATTTTGTGACATGAAAGCGAGGCTTTATGCCACGTTGAGTTTTGAGAGTGGACAGAAATGGTGAGATATGAATTTGTTTTTGCATTTTCCGATACTATAATAGATTCTGCTTGAGCTCTCAACCTGTTATTTGAATTTTGGATTCTTCTTCTTTACCATGAAGGTGTCGGTGCTAAATACAGTGGATACCTCGCATGAGGATATGATCGTAAGTGGCTGACATTTAGATAAATCTAGATTGTGTTTCGCCAAACCAAGAAACCAGAAATTTGTTAGTTTGAAAAGGCCGGTTCTCCCGCCGTCTGAGAGAGGATACACGAGAACACACGACTCACTGTGAAAGAAATTCACTGACTTGCTTGCGTTTGAGTCATCTTTGTTTGACTCAGAAGCCTTTAATATTTAAGCATTAAAATCTTTAATCTCTCTTGCATTTATGCCATTTATAGTCAGTTTATTTTAATACACAATTTTAAATTAAAAGGAAATGAGAGTGAAGCAAACAAAAATGACGTTCATAATTTAACCTACTGGGATGTTAAGAGATTTCATGTGGACATAACTGATGAAACAAAATACTTACTAATGTGAATTTCTCCAGGTTTACTTGTTCAAATGTACATGTTAACAAAATCATTGGCTGTTCAAGGGCTGTTTGAATTATAATAAATTGAAAGCATGGTACTCTCCAGGGGCGATCCCACACGTATTTGAAAGATTGTTTTTGATTAGCTGAGAAAACAGTAGGGATTGTCATATAACAATGCCCCTATCCCTGAAAACAGTGGAGGTGCAGATTAAAGGGGACCAGTGAAATAAGAGGTTTAGAACGGTGCAGGTCTACTGCTCTCCGGGAGCTTTACAGTGTAATGTCACTATGTAGCCTGCAGCTCCTTGGCCTCCTTCACAGATGTTCCTTTGGCTTTTACGGCTAGCAGCTTCTCTTGACTTTGCTGATGAGATTGCTCTTTTGTCTAATGTGGTTGATCAGGCTCAGAAACTACCCACACTAACAGAGTCTGAGTGCAAGAAAGTAGGCCTGCAGCTTAACCTAAAGAATATAGAGGTTATCAATTACAACTCGAGTGTCGATACTCCACTCAAAACTATGGAAGGAAAAGAACTGCAAGAAGTTCAGGATTTTAATTATTTAGTTTCTCTCATTGCCTGTACAGAGAGTGACATAAAAGATGTGGAGATCTAATATGTCCAGTGGGCGTATAACTGTCATTCTTCAAAGCCACTGTAGAATTTGTTCTTCTTCACGGGGTTGAAACCTAGACCCTAACCCTTACCCTTGTCAAGTCATTATTTTTGCTATACTTGCATGCTGTGAGTGACCTTGAATGTTTCCTGGCAAAGCCACACCTCCAATGAAGATGCTTTTGGAGATTTTCTGAGAGTCGGAGATAAAGTAGCAGCAAGAAGGATCAGGCTCGCTGGGCACTATCAAGGACATCCCAACCTCCCAGCACACAAACTCACCAGGACTTTGGGAGCCAACCCACGGCCATAGAAGTAGAGGACGACCAAACTCAACAGTTTTTTGATATCTTAAACTGAGATGCTGATGTAGTCTCTAGTCAAGAGTTAGAGGCAATGATACACAATCGCACAGTTCGGAATAATCTTGTCAAGTCTCGGCTGTGGCCGACTTGGTAGTAATAGTAGTTCCCCTAGGGAGGAGGGCCCGGTCAATCAACTGTTATAATCATAGAAGATGTGGTGGTTCAAGTTTGATCTTTTCATTTCTATATCATCATTACTATACATCGTGAATGGTTAAAAATCCTATGCATTTGTTACAATAATTTAAACAAGTGCCAATAAGTAAAGCATGTTGATTGTAAAACAAATTCTTCTGTTAAGTACCATAGAAAATGCATTTAAACTAGCTCTGCTAAATTGGATGTCCCTGGATAAATATTGAAATAATCAGACAGTGAGGAGAATATGTGTGCTGATACATTTTTTTCTTAGCACGATGCCCAGATGGACTATTATGGTAAGAAGCTTGCTACCTGCTCATCTGACAGAACTGTAAAAATTTTTGAAATTAATGGCACGACTCAAAATCAAGTGGCCTGTTTGAGAGGGTAGGTGTACATGTAAGATATTTTTATTACAATTCTTTGACTGGATTATTTTTCTGAAAGATCATTAACCCATTCTTCCTCTGGAATTTTGCCAAAAAACGTGTTTTGAAGCTAGTCTAGTGGTTTTTGTGGTCTCTGTCTGGTTATAAAGCTTGGTGGTTCAAGGTTCAAGATTTTCATGAATTTTGGGGTCAACTTTACATGGTTTTTTGCCTTTTTCTCTGGCCTTCTTGACCAAATCCTGCTCATTCTGGCATGGTTTGAAAGATCTCTTCACCTTGTACAGGTTAGCTGACAAAGTTGTTCTTGACCAATCATTAAAACTGACTACATCACAAGTGGTAGAAGTTATATTATTATTTTTTTTCCTTACTCTGAATGGTATGCTACAACATAAAAGATAATTATTTATTTTGATCATTTATCGTGAACATTTTGTTTGCAGACATGAAGGTCCAGTATGGCAGGTTAGCTGGGCTCATCCTATGTTTGGCAATCTCCTGGCATCTTGTTCATATGACAGAAAAGTAAGATTTATCTTAGATGATAATATAATAATAATAATAATAATAATAATAATAATAATAATAATAATAATAATAATAATAATAATAATGATGATGATTTTATTAGTAGTACTTCCACAAGGTGGCTCTTCGCCAACTGATGCCCTAACTACAGTATAGTATTACAGAAAATCAAGCCGATTTTAAATTAAAAATGATATATACACTAAATTAAGGATAAGTACAAAAGGTTTGATAAAAAATATGTACAATTGAAAGACAGCATGGTTCAAAATAATAATAATAAAAATCAGTCATACGCTTTCTTCTTTGGAGAACATGAGCTTCTTTGCAAACCTAACAAACTTGTTATAGTCAGGCTCTTGCCTTAACCTATCAGGTACCGTATTACATAATCTCGCTGTTGAGTCTTGGATGCTTCACCTGACCTAAGTTATTTCCTTATGTTACTATAATGTGCTTCCTTTTAGCTAAAGGTGACATTATTATATTACTACTAGGAATGTCACAGCTGCAAATTGAGCCTTGTGAAATTTCTGCATTTTATGTGTATGATTTCATTTCCTAGGTTATAATTTGGAAGGAAACAAGTAATGGATGGTCAAAACTTCAGGAATTTTGTAATCATGATTCTTCAGGTAACAAGAGGTTTCTGTTCAAATTGTAAAGACAATGTAATAGGTAACTGACTGTATTTTCTAAATCTGGCATTTTGTAGTAAATGCAATATCCTGGGCGTCTCCAGACTATGGGCTGATGTTGGCTTGTGGTTCATCAGATGGATCTATTTCAATAATCACCAGTTCAGGTAACTATTCAATATACAGCTGTACATGACAGTTTCTCCTCAAAACTTTTCTTTATGTTTACTTTTTGAAGAAATTGTCACACACATTTAAAGACATGGATTATTTAGTCTATCAAAGTGATTTTGTTACAAATAGTAATGGCACGAGTCCTGGGACTCATCTTGAGAAAAATCATGAGTTCTAGTCCAGAACTGTGGAGTCCTAGTTAAAAAAACAACAATGAGTCCTTGGGTCTTTATGTTACCACACAGTTAATCTGAAGACAATATTTAAGTGTACTTCTTTTAAAACCTAAATAACGCACAGTGCACAACCCGCACACTTGTTGGTAAACCCGTGCTGTATTTTCTCCTCTTTCTTGGTTGAGACCATCTCACACATATTCTTTTTTGTGATTTTAACAGGTGATGGTACATGGGAAACAAAGAAAATAAATAATGCTCATACAGTAAGTTAGACCCTAGTAGATATTTTTTATCCCTTGGGATTTATCAGGATTAAATACACAACAATTCTCTTTGGGGTTCTTTGGGTCTTTATTGCCTTTATTGCCTGATAAACAGGTTTATCACTCACATTATTAACTAACTCATGGTGTAGTTTTCCCTTGATGTGTTTCCTTACATACTGTCAAGGTGAAGCCATTGAGTAAGAATAATGCTTGATGCTGTTCACGTGCAAGATCTCTTATGACCTTGTATGCTGTAATATTCAAGTACATCATTACTGTCTTCAAATGACTTCAACACATTACCCTTATCTTGTTTTATCCTTTGGTTGTGGTGTCCTGTATTAATGGTAGTTTTACTTTACAAAAAATGTCTTTTTACGGTAAACTTCAAGTATAACAATCTAAATGGCCACACAACATCCTTTCCTGACAACAATTAAATTTATAGTGGTTTGTTTCAAATTCAAAGTTCTTTTCCTTGCCAAGGCTGTAAACATTAACGAAGATGAGAGCCCACCCCCTCCCCCCCCCCAAAATTTTCCACTCTCAGAGGGAAAAAACCCATAAATTTCTCCGAGGTGCTTAACATGCAATGGTGTCATTGTACATATATGATTCTGACTATTAGAAAAACAATGACTGAATTTTTTTTTTTTTTTTTTTTGGGGAGGGGGGGTGGGGTGAAGTAACTGCCGGAACACAAAAGACTTGATGTACTATTTTTGACTTGCCTGAGTACTCTCTCTCTCAGATTGGTTGTAATGCAGTCAGCTGGGCACCATCTGTTGCACCAGGATCATTATTAGAGGTAATATTGCCCCCTAAAGTTGTACTAAATGCTCTGTCCATTAACAATGTTTTTACTTTCCTCTTCAAAGTTGCTCATCATTTTTTAATTAAAACCCAAAATTAAAGAATCTACACTCTACCTGATTAAGCCTCCCTCCCGTCTTCCTTATTATTCTTCACTTAAAAATTAAAGATAGACTGCATTAATCAATCTTGACTGTAAACGTTTGTGTGGACTGACCCAGGATGGCTTATTTACCAGCTGGAAGTTCAGATTTGTTTTTGATCCTTGGCTGCATAATACTGGCATAACCTGCAACGTCTTGTACTTGAGATTTTCCACCTAGTTTTTCGTTTCTTTATAGAGAAACAATGCCATCTATTTATGGCATCCACCGATACCATAAATAAGCCTCCTCCCCACCCCTTTGAAATAAGCCCCCTGTCTCTATTAGGCTCCCCCTCAAATGTGTTTGAAATAAATAAGCCCCCTGTAATAGAGGATTTACAGTATTATAAGTTTGTGGATCTTGAGCTGTTTGCCAATCCAAACTAAAGATTTAATGATACGTGTACCTGCCAAAAACTAATGCTCTAGAGGAATGGAGGATTGTTGTGGACAATAAAGAGAAGCGTAAAGAGCTTATTCATGCTTTTTGTGAAGAATAACATTTGGCAAAGGATAAAAGGAGTACTGTATACTTCCACTTGTAAGCCCTAGGCATATTTAACTTTGTATTGGGATTTAGGAGTGGTTATAAACAGGTGGGAGGGGGGGGGGGGCTTCTAACTGAACTAAAAAAATGTATTTCAAAACAAGTTCCATTGCAGTGCTATAAGCTACATGGCAATGCTCTTTTTTTTAAGCCTCTAAACATCGTGAAAAATCAAATTCATTTCAATACAAGGTAGAGGGAGGCCTCCATTTGGGGAGCCTTTTTTGGTGTACAGACAGATGGGCTTTTAATTGGGCGGAGGGGGGGGCTTAAAAGCGGCGGAGGGGGCTTATAAGGAGAAGTTTACCGTATGAGAACCACAATGAAAGGAGGAGAGTAACAAAAAACTGAGGTCTATGTGTATCTCTAAAATATTCTGTGTCTTGCCTTTGTTGTGTTACATGTATAAGGTATTTATGTTGCAGGCAAAATGCAGTCTCAGGTTAAACCAGAATTTCCTTGATCTCCTGTGAATAACAATAAACAAAGTAGGATGAATGCTGGCTTGACCTTAGAACAGATTTGACCTGCAACATAATTATTTTGGGGGATGATAAGAGTCACTGATGACACCTATTATGATTTTCCTCATTTTAGCCTGGATCTAAGCCTAGTGTGGTGGTTAAAAGATTTGTCACAGGAGGATGTGATAACTTGGTGAAAGTTTGGAAGTAAGTACATGTAACAAGGTGTATTTTTTCACCATCTTAGGGGGTTACTATTAATAGCAGTACATGTGTCACTGTTGTACTTTTTGACCAATGACGATCATGATGCCAATGAGGNGGGGGGGCTTAAAAGCGGCGGAGGGGGCTTATAAGGAGAAGTTTACCGTATGAGAACCACAATGAAAGGAGGAGAGTAACAAAAAACTGAGGTCTATGTGTATCTCTAAAATATTCTGTGTCTTGCCTTTGTTGTGTTACATGTATAAGGTATTTATGTTGCAGGCAAAATGCAGTCTCAGGTTAAACCAGAATTTCCTTGATCTCCTGTGAATAACAATAAACAAAGTAGGATGAATGCTGGCTTGACCTTAGAACAGATTTGACCTGCAACATAATTATTTTGGGGGATGATAAGAGTCACTGATGACACCTATTATGATTTTCCTCATTTTAGCCTGGATCTAAGCCTAGTGTGGTGGTTAAAAGATTTGTCACAGGAGGATGTGATAACTTGGTGAAAGTTTGGAAGTAAGTACATGTAACAAGGTGTATTTTTTCACCATCTTAGGGGGTTACTATTAATAGCAGTACATGTGTCACTGTTGTACTTTTTGACCAATGACGATCATGATGCCAATGAGGTTACGTAATTTGTTTGGTAGTCATCACTTTTTGTGTTTGGTGATTCCATGTATTTTCCTTTGTGGCCTAAAACTTCAATTGCAATCAACAGCCCAGAAATATAATTATGTCATTTTTCCAAGTATTCTTTTGTTATTGATTTAGTACCCAGAACCTTCTTTATCTCTTCTTTTTTCCTCATCTGTTCTTTTCTTCATTAAACTTATTTTGTTTTTCATTTAGAGAGGTGGATGGTCAATGGGTCGAAGAAGAGAAACTTGAGGCTCATAGTGACTGGGTCAGAGATGTTGCCTGGGCTCCTAATGTGGGGTTACCTGTCAGCACCATAGCATCATGTTCCCAGGTAGATTTTTCTCTGGTAGGGCAGCTTTGGACTGCATTATTTTACTTTCTTCAAAGGCAAACTTTGGAAAACACAGACCAGAAATCAGTTATTTCTCTCCCCTTCTCTCCTAAACAGTCAGGACGCCCAGTTGTAATAATTATTACATAATGGCAGAAGTTTATCTCAGCCAATTTTATCATAGGATTTTGCAGCAATCTGCTATCAGTTTGCTGATAACAGCAACATGTCCACAATGCACAAGTCAACTGTTGACTGTTCCCTAGGGGAAAATTTAAAGTGGAATTGTTAAACCCCTCTCTCAAATTTTTCTTTTTAAAGTTTGAAAAAAGTTTTATTCAGAATAGCATCCCCCAATAGCTGTTAATCCTTAAAGTAAAATTAATAGAGTGGAAGCTCTCATGGGCAGACACCCTTGGGACACGAAAAAGGTATTTGCAGGGTGCAAAGAAAATCAGTTTTACAGCCTGCCTTTCGGGCAAGCTGTAGCTAGCATGTACATGTACTAGGCTAGCCAACAAGTCATTTCAACTAGCCCCAAAACCCTTTTTGATTAGCAGGATTGATTACAATCCTTCTGTAATTTGAATTTCCCCAAAAAACAGCACTTGCCTGTCAGGCAAGTTAAGAACAAAAATCACTAGCGCAATAGCAAAATCCACCAGCCCCGTGCTATCGGACACGACTTTCTTTGCACACTGGTTTGTAAGTGGAGCTGGCACTTAAGGAATGTAAAAACACAGTTTGTATTGGAGTTAAGAAACCACATATTGATTTCGTCTCAAAAAAAATTTCGAAAAGTGTGGGAATTATTGCGAAAGCCCGCTTTTACCTATCATCCCAAACTTTGATGACCTTGTATTACTCCCTTGTATATCCTTTCTTAACATACTGTAATGTCGCCTGGTCCTCCACCTACTGTTCCAACCTAAACTGTATTTACCTTTTGCAAAAGCATCTAGTGCGACTCATAACAAAAGCTCACTATCTAGCAATTACTGCCCCTTCATTTAGCCAGCTTAAAGTCCTTGACATATTTAGTATTAATTCATTTTCTGTCGCTACCTTTATGTATTCTTATCACCATAATCTTTTGCCTAATAGCTTTCATGACTTGTTCTTAAGTAGTAATCAAGTCCATCAATACGAAACTCGACTAGCCTCTCAATATAGACCTCATTTTTGTAGAACAAATATAAAGCAATTCAGTATCCTTTACCGGGGACCTAAAATCTGGAATTTGTTGCCTGTTTCACTAATTAGCTCTCCTTCTATATCTGTTTTTAAAAAAAATTTAAAGAATTATCTCACTGATAGCCGATCTGTCATTTAATTTTCTGATCTTGCTCACAATGCACTCAGCCATGAACTTAGTTCACTAGGTAGTTGAAGGAAACCTATTAATATAAGCTTCAAGCTTCGTTAGGCTTCCTTGTCACATTAGTTTTATAATTTAATTAACACCTTTTGTTCATGTTGTGTAAGGTTTTGTGAGTGACTAAATAAATAAATAAATAAAATAAATAAATAAATAAATAAAATAAGAAAAACAGGTTTTGTGAGGGTAGCTGTTACAGGTCAAAATTTAATTCGGGTTAAAATTTTTTAACTTGGGTTGATTCTGAATTTACTTTGTCACCTAGCCCTATTTATTCATGAATTACGGCTAGTAGACAAAGGAAATTCAGAATCAACCTAGGTTTAAAAATTTTAACCGGACCTGTAACATAGCCATTAGTAGAGCTGTCCACTTAGGAGAGTCTTGGTTAGGAGAGCTTCCAGTGAAAGTTACTTTGAGAACTTGACAGCATTTTGTTTGGTTTTTTGACAGGATTGCCGTGTAGTTATCTGGACAAAAAATGAGGTTACAGGTGGTGGTTGGTCTTCTAAGGTAAATACAAGGTCTCTAAAAACATCTACTGGGACTCAAGTCTTAAGATCAAAGAGTTGTTTCCGATAAAGAAATTAGTAGTTACAACACAATTTTGACAATAATTGTAAGTGCTGCTGTAGTTACCCTATTTACAATACAGTCAATCCTTCATGTGTGACCACTTGTTATAAATGACTGCCTCTCAAAAGCAGTCACAAACTCATTTAACCCTTAAGCCCCAATATCCACATACAAATTCTCCAAACTGATCTCCATACATTTCCCCCCTTAAAAAATTAGTTGAGAGAATTTGATAAAAGTTCAAAGATTTTTCTCTTTGAGATGATTTTATTAATTCTCGTAGACTTTGCTCTTGACGAGTTATGGATATGGTTTGGAGAAAATAGATTTTGGTCACTATTGGGAGTTAAAAGGGTTAAGCAATCACCTGATACTATGGTCTTCTCTTTGTGTTCACTGTATGTACAACACTATTCAGAATATGAGAAGAACTCTAAGAAACAACATGAATTTACATACACTGTATGTTCTTGCATTCAATACATTCTCTCCAAAAAGGAGATGTGTCTAGACTTCTCCTCTTGAAAGACCTCCTGCAGTTTGACTCTTGTAAACACCTACCTCCCTTAAGAGTCCATTACAGTAACTCTTTACATTTTATGTGGTCACTTATGGGACGTTACAGTCAAGACAGGTCAAGCGTACCCTCCAAGATTCTATTAATGAATTTATTATTTGAAAAATGAATCTGTTAGTCATTCCCGTAACTACTGTCAAATTCAAATTAGCATTCCTGCATGTGTGATGAGAAGTGAATATTTTATGAGAAATTCTCTATATTTGGTCCGATTGAAAATCTTTGAATGGATAAAATTGCTTCAAGACATTTACATCAATTCAGGGAAACTAAGCTGGCAGTATAACTGCCTCGTTGTGAATTTACTGCTCATTATGCATGCAAGAATGCAGAGATGAATCTGAAATCTACAACTACCAATGGATTCAACTTTTGAATAATAAATTCATTAATGCAATCTCAGGGGGTACGCTCCGACGACCTTCCTTGACTGTAAACTGTAAATGACGTACATGTAAGTCTGTTATAACATGATAAAAGTGGTGACAACTACTGGGTACAAGAAAATTGTTGTCCAATCACCAACACCAAGGGCTAGTGGAGCAACACATTGGGCGAGCCTGTTTTAATTATGAGCTGTCTTATGGGCAAGCATCATTTGCCACAATTAAGTAAATTTTAGTAAAAGGGAGGTTGGTAGTTAAGTGCATGACTGCTCTGGTCTAGTGACAATTTAGATCATTATACGTTTCTGGGAAACTGTCCACCTACCTCTCCCCTAAGCCAACATGAACACTTACTTCTCATGTAGGGAAAATGTTTGCTTAGGGAAAGGATAGGTGGACAGTTTCTCAGAGACGTGTAATTATCCGTAAGTTTTAACACCAGAATAAGCAAGCAATTTTGTTAAATTTTCATCTCACCATGTATAAAGAGACTGAAAGGGGCCCCCTAAACTTTTCTTAGCAATTTATTATTGCAGCTTATTGCTAAATGGCCAAGTTTGATAACAAGGTTGTGTTTACTTTTCAGGTTTTAAAGAAGTTTGGTGATGTTGTTTGGCATGTTAGTTGGTCTGTAACAGGGAATATTTTAGCTGTATCTGGTGGAGATAACAAGGTAAACTTAATGCAGAATCAGCCTTAAGTTGGCTGAGATGACATGTTAAATGACACTTTTTATCTGTTTTGACCCTTTCTTGAAAGTTGTGTAAGAAACAGGCGAGAGATATCCTCTCTCTGATAGTCACCTTCACCCAAAACTGTCTAGGTTTTTTTTAGGCAAGAAAGAAACAGTTCAACTTTTGTTGAGGGGGTGTGGGGGAAGAGAAGGCAGCATGGCCATGTGGTCAGCGCATCGGACTTGCAATCCAGCTGTCCCGGGTTCGAGTCCCGCTCTGGCCGCTTCCTGGATTTGTTCTCAGTCGTCCCAAGTTCAAATCCTCGGTCACTCCTGTAAATAGCCAACTGGATACCTCCTGCCAGTTGGGGCTTTTAATCCTGGTTTATTGTGTTTGAATTATTTGTTTTTAGTGGAATGCCTATAAACTAGCTGGATAAGCTAAGTGCTATTTTCACTATAAACAAGCCTTTAAAACTTTAAGAGACGGCTACAGGTGAAACGGTACAAGGGACTTTATAAGGAGTCACTTACTTTCACAGGACGTGAAAGTGACGTCTAACTTTTAAGAGGATCGAACAAAAGGATTTGCTTTTGTACAGGTGAGCTTATGGAAGGAGTCTCTTGAAGGCCAATGGGTGTGTGTTAGTGATGTATACAGAGGGCAAGGGCAGGAAACGCAATGATGTTTTTGTCATTTCTTGGCCTTTTAGGCAAAAAAAAAAAAACATTTTAGATAGCAAGAAGAATTATGTACAGGGTGTAAAATATGTCTTACCTCTCTATACCTAAAGTGTACAACACAGACAAAATTTATTACATTGAAGAATAGGTTTGTGGTGTTCTCTGGCCCGAATGCAAGTTTTGCTCTTTGATTGCATGTGCAGAAACAGGAGCGTACTTACACTGAATTTATGTTTCTTTTTGTGCAAAATGTACATGCAGTGGTTGTGTTCGAATGCGAAAAATCAGTGTCTGTTTAGTTTGCGTCCTTATTAATAATTATTAATCTCCTCCCTTTCTCCCAGCTATTGAGACGTTTCATCAAAGTTGTCATAAATTTTTAAATAAAAAAGAATAGTTTTCAAGCTACACTGTGAAAGTAGTTTCAGTTTTTAATTATTATAAGACAGTTCCTTGAAAAAGAACTGCTTATTATTTTTGTCCTCTTAAAGTAATGTGATCCTTGCAATCACATAATTGTAGTTCACAACACAGCAGTGAAACTCCATACAGCAGAACCGTTACCGTTCTCAGGATATTTTTCTCAACGTCAGTATCCTCAAACAATTAATATGCTAAAGCATGGCATAGCTGGCGAGAGAAGGCTCTAAGAACACGTTGAATATGACAGTCGTTGAATATAAGGAGACGCTAAGTTCAATTCTTTTAGCAGAAATTAATGTGACCTGGGTTTCTTCAAACCTCCAACTGACTTGTGTGAAAAATTGCTTGTGACTATGCTACCTAAGCTAACACTCGTTCTTAAAATTCTTAACATTTGCGACAGATTTACTGAAACTATCTATTTTCACAGAAGTGGTGATTATTCTATTTCTCTATACATATCAAGTTTACATATTATTATTGAGAGCATTGCCTTTGTTCACAATACGCATTCACTTAAACTACAGTTCTACCAAGCAGTTTCATTATGATAATTGTCATGAATGACATTGACATAACTGTCGTTATCCCTGGATTTGTTCATGGTATTCGCGAGTTTAAATCCTCGTCCATGCTTGTAAAAAGCCGGCTGGTTTGCCTCCGGCCAATTGGGATTCTTAACTCTGTTTAGTTTGATTTGAATTATTTGTTTCAGGCATTTGCACGGGCCCACTAGCATTAGTGCTATAAATACTGACGAGGGTAGACAAAGGAATTTTATGTTATTATTATTATTATTATTATTATTGTTGTTGTTGTTGTTGTTGTTGTTGTTGTTGTTGTAGTTATTATTATTGTTATCATCATCGTCATCATCATCACGATGTGCGGTGTTTTTTTTTTTCATCACTATAACTATTATTACTTTCAGCCCTAACCGAGTTAGGGGTGGGGGCATTTAACACCATGAATTCCTCAAAACGACTTGAGGCTTTTTTTTGGACCATTCTCTTGCAAACAATAAATGAAACCAGCCAAAACCTCGAGCACGCCCAGATTCACCTCCCATCTTCGTCACTGATCGCGACTAAGAAGTGATTCTCTAGTTTCGCTACAATATCCAGCCTCTTAAAGCTGTCTTTAAGTGTTTTACAAAAATCATACACCGTCAATTCTGGTTCGCGTGTTGCCAAATATTCCAAGACGTTTGTCCCAGGTTCACCGGAATTAGCCATAAGCCTTAGCTTGTAATGTGTGAGACCGTATTTAGAACCAATTGCTCTCCAGCCCCTGAGCCTGGGTTTCTTGATTTCCAATAGCGATGCCAAATCTTCCCTCATTTCATAGTCTAACTCTGTCAGAAGTTTCGGTCGCATTCCATTTCGACCCGGCTGAGGGATGACGTCAAGTCTTGCAGTGTCTGTCTCTTCGCCTTCGTCATATAAGCTCACATGACACATGTAAGACCCAAAATCCCGCAGCTCAACTGGATCCAGAACAAAAACGGTCTCGTTCTTCCCATCCATGGCAACACCATCTTTATACCACTGATACTTGAACCTCTTGCTCGCTCTTTCAATCTTGCAAGCTAGTTCAACTTTTGACCCTTCTTTGGCTATTTGTGATTTTGGCTGCTCTGCTATCTTTATAATGGACCCTATAACATGAAAAATATATTTTTATTTTTGTATCCTTTTGTGTCATGGGGAGGAATGTTGTTAAGTAGTTTGTGCATTGTTTTAATCATTCATGTCGTGCCTTTTTTGGTTGATTTTTTGTTTGTGCTCGAGTTCTCACTCGTGCAAAAGTGTCGTTATGAAAAGGTTTGTAGTTCAAGGTTAATCCACACTTCCCTACATTGGTGTTTGATAGGGTTTTGAGTGTTATCATCTTTAAGTTTAGGAATTAGTTAAATTTGAGTGTTAGTTCTTGAAGTAGCCATTCTTGGGATTAGAGCTCACTTTGAATTTTACCCATATGAGAATTTCTGTTTTGGTTAAGTCTAACTCTCAAGTTCTGTTGTCAAACTTTTATTGGTTAAATTACACTTGGCATGCTCAATCGTGTAAGGACATGTATTACGTGAAACTTTGAGGCTTCTCTCAAACACAGCTAGACCACAGTTTGAGGACGAATACGTCCATGTACACTGTGATATGTTTCAGTGATATATTTTTTGACACGTTTTTTTAACTTCCAAACTTTCTTGGAGGCGCGAGCCTCCCATCCCCCCTCCCTCATGTCTCTCCACCTGCTAGGGGCCTGCCGGACTAGCACAGAAAAATGTTGAAGTGTATTTGAATTTGAGTGTGTTTTTTGGGAAACATGACTATATCATTGATCATGGTACTGAGCTAGACTGTGAGTTGGTGTCTTTCTCGCAGTACCCCTGCACCGTTCTAAACCTCTTATTTCACTGGTCCCCTTTAATCTGCACTTCTATTGTTTTCAGGGATAGGGGTATTGTTATGTGACAATCCCTATTGTTTTCCCAGCTTATCAAAAACAATCTTTCAAATAGGTGCGGGGTCGCCCCTTTCTCGTGCCGTTTAAATAGCCAATTTGTGCATCGGCGAGTGCGCTGTCGTAATTTTAACTCCGGTTATCTTACTTGTACTTATTTTCGCGGTCTCTTAAATTGGCGAAGGTGAATGTAAGGTATTTCTAGCGATTTAAATTTCACAGTTTGATAACGAACTCCTGTTAAAAGGGAACTATTAATTTTTGCGAAGAAATGAGGATGCACTGAGCGCCATTTTGATTTTTTTTTTTACTGGAAAGAATATTTAACTTAAAGAACAGCAGAAATATTGCTGTCTAAGCATATGAATGGTTACGTACCTAGGATGTGTCTAGGATATTTTCCTTTCCTCCCACCTATACTACCCCTTCTGATTGGCTGAGGCAAATTTTCCTTGCGGCACGACCAATCAGAAGACGCGTCATCTGTATGGAATTTCTGCGCTCGTTTCTCAGACGTCATTTCGCGGGAAAACGAGTGGTGGCGTCGCCGCGAAATGCCGGCTGTTATCTCAGGCTATTAATATGTGAAAATGCCATGATAACATGTACATCTTACCTCTAGCACGCGCAGGATAAGCAACTTGCTTAAGTGACGCATCCATTGCAATTGTCTGGGGATAAGGGTACATTTCCGCTCTACCTAACGTGGGTGAAAGGGAAATCAAAATCAATCGATCACTGTAACGCTTAGCGCACATGGCTGTGACTTGCCTGAAAATTTCACACACTAGGATAATCACTTTTCCCACGAACAAACCGGTTAGTAAAAAGAAAAAGACAGGTGGGTTTTACCTGCAGCAAGCCGAGATACAAATTCTCCTGGGAGAGCTTTACTTTTCTTTTTACCTGACAGATATGAAGGAATACAAAATAAAGTTATCTCTTAAAAGCTTTGATCAACTATGTAGTGGTTCCTGAAGGAAGGTAAAGTTTTACGAGCCGAGAAGTTTCAGTAAAAGCGCCATACTTCTCGATCATAAAAAAACATAACATTTGTTTAAACAAATAGGGTTATTTTTTATATAAACTCCTTAACAGACCTTTAGCCATTTAGTTATTTCCTTGTTGAAAATGCGTCCCTCAAAAACAGTCCCACAATGCACTTTGACAACCATCTCGACCCGGTCTCCCGCGCAACCTCAATGTGGCGAACCCACCCCTTCTGATTGGCTGAAGCAAATTTCCCTTGCAGTACGACCAATCAGAAGCACTGCCAAGACCTGGGTGGTGACGCGTCATCAGTATGGAATTTCTGCGCTCGTTTTATAGACGTTGCCCCGGGTACCAGGCCCCAGTTTTTCAAAAGCTGGATAGTGCTATCCACTGGATAAATCTCTATCCAACGGATAGTCCAATTGGTTTACCTAATACTTATCCACTGGATAGTAATTTATCCGGTGGATAGCGCTATCCAGCTTTTCAACAACTGAGGCCAGAGTGTTTTTTTCTCGTGTGCGGCGAGGAGCTTCGACCGGCTCGTCTTCGGCCGAAGGCCGAAGACACGTGCTTCGAAGCCGCGAGAAAAAATCTCTGGCGCAGAGCGCCTTGATTTACTGTCCTTGATGGACCTTGACCTTGTCTCTAATCTGTCAATAAAATCGGCGGTCGCAAGCTAATTCAAAAGTAATTACCAAGTCGAACCAAGGGAGGGATGATGCGCTCCAGCGCAAAGAGTCACATTATTTCCAGAATAGGTGGTTTTCATGCAATCTCGGGAGACACAAATAACAATGGTGAAATGAACAAATGCTGGGGACAAACAAAGAGAGCTAATGAGCGATCTTTTGTTTACCGTCCACCAGCATGGCGGCGATGACGTAACGTGAAAACCACCTATAACAAGCTTGAGTTTTAATAAAAATCATTGCCTAAAGAGCAGTCTTGTCACAGTGCAGTTTTCCTTAATTTATGTAGCTTCAGTTTAAGCTGCAATCCATTCTTATAAATTTGGATCTGTAAATCACTAAGGAGAAATAAACATCCTGCAAAAACTACTAACTAGCTGGGTCCAGCGTGACAGAACATTGCAGGAAACTTTCACATTTAGGGACAAAAGAAAATCGCTTTTAATCATTCAGATCTAGGAAGGACAAAAGTTTTTTTAGCCGAAACGAAGAAGTTTACGTTTAAAGAGAGGTTAAAGAAAATGCTCTCGATTCGCATCAGAGGGGAAATCATGCCGACCAGAAATAAACCGCAGAAAATCAATAATGCTTGTCACGATCTCTCAGTAAGAAACAAGCGGCAAAAATAATGCACATTTGCTCAGTCGTAATCTACCCGCTGGAGAAAAAATTCATTGGAACAAGCAGCATTTTGGCACGAGGTAAGTAAATACACGCGTATAAATACACGAAATTTCAAGGGCCTCGATTCCAGAGAAATTACATCATTGCTAGAGATAAAAAAAAGTGATTTACATGGCTCGTCATTTCAATCATCGCCGAAAATAAACCGCATGCTCATCACAAGAGCCATTTGCATACGATGAAATACCATCGCAGTTTTGCTAATTAAGATTCTTATTTTTCTTCGACCACTTAGTAGTGTTCACTCGTTCCAAAGTAATCAACGCTTTCAAGCGATAGAATTCGTTAGCTTTCTTCGAAAAACATCCGTGGCCTCGATCACGCAACAATGTTAGACTACGATTTCAAAATGGCGGAAAGTAACTTATGCAAAACTGGAGGGAAAGAAAAAGAATCATTTAGATTGTTTTTCCGCTAAGGGTAAGTTCACGAGCTCGTCCTGAAAGGCAAAATCCCCTGTCCACACAGTTCTTGTGAAAAGGACCCACATTTTTTCGAAAGAAATGGCATTTCCCAGCATTTTCGTGTGGTACACAAGTGTACCTTCATGGATGTAAACTTGCAAGAGAGCTTGGCTCTTTGAAGAAGGCTTCATGGCAAAGAAACCATCGATATTCTTAATGAATTTTTTAAAAGTAGAAGCGAAAAGGTAAGACAAATTCTTGTGCTTGTGCGATATTATTTCTCCTTAAAATAGCGCAACGGGAACGGTTCACAGCCCAAATCCACAAATCGGAGTTCTCTGGACTGAAATCAAACCAGATCTGCAAGGCGTCTCATTTTTCTCGTCCACCCTTCCCGGCGTCCTCGCGTTCATGCAAAACGTTCCCATGGTCCATTGCGCGATACACCATGATGGCTCGTGCAGTCGCGTTTTCCGTTTTCCACATTTGAGACGCCTAGGAACGAGGCAGATAATAAGACGCAACAGTC